TGACAACCTAGAAATGAAAATTCATAGATGAAATTATTTTAGACTTTCAAGTGTCTGCCTTTTCAAAAACTACTATTTATTTGACCACTAATAAAATGAGATTTAGCCATACATGCAATAAGAATTATTACTTACCTAGAAAAAGTATGCGTGCATCAGTGTTCAAGAGTTTAAAATAGTATGAATATGATTAAACGGATAGAAATAATATTAATTTTAAACATTAAAATAATTTGGTATAGTAATGCTACTGATGCAACAATATTTTGAAGTACATCTAGGTAATACATGTGTGTTAGGAACAGGATGAACCATAGATATACTAACAATGAGCATTTGGGAGAGCAAAAGGAGATCAAGATCAGTTCATTTTTACTTCCCTCAAGGAAACAGATGATCACTAAGTGCCTGGCACAATGCCTGGCATATAGTAGAAGTAGGAGACATTTATGAGTGTGAATGGTTTTATAATAGTGAATGAGATTTTCATAAATTGAAAAGGCCATGTTGCTTTAAGGAATGATCTTAGGAGTATAGAATGTTATATCTTGAAATTTATTGTAAGGGAAGAATACAGATTGTCATATCCTAAAAATTACTAAAATGGTATATGTCCTTGTTAGTAAATAGTTCATCCTAAATGAAAGTAGAGCACTGGACTGAAATGACCTTTAGAGATTACTTTCTGCTAATATTTCTACAACTTTGGGTCTTCCTGTTAATTACTTTTGTATTTTGTTGTTGTTATTTTTTTTTTAACCTCAAGCCTCAAAAACCAAAGAAGGTTAAGATTGTATAAATCAGGAGAAAAATCAGGTCTTATATTCATCACCAATAAAAAACATGCATATGAAGGTAAAATTATTTTCCCAACATTGGCAGGATTCTAGGGAAACCCGAATGCTGGAAGTCTGTGTTTCAGCTCCTAACATCCCTTTGTTCCCTTCCATAGTTAAGCCACAAGGATATGAACACAGTCAATCAGTTCCATTGACCAAAACATTGACCAAATCCTATTTTTAATCATGCCCCATGAGACAGTGGCACCAGATTTCTCAAGGCCTGTGGCATCATGGTAGGATACTCTGAGTGCTCAATCTTCTCTAAGGCAATTCCCTGTCTGAATGCTACTCCAGTTGATCCCCAGGCCCTCATTTAGAACTAACGGACCTTACATTCCATGCCCTCAGAGTCAAAATGGACCATCTGACCAGCATTGTAGGGGTGGAGGGGAGGGAAGGCATTAATAGGCTTCCTGTGCCAACTCTGCTAGATAATAGTGACATTTACATTTTAACAACACCCTTCCATGCTTTGATTCCTGGGAGTGAATAAGTGGCTCTAACAGCTCCAATGGCTAGGTAAGAGGTACGCTGTTAAGGAAGGCTCCAAACGGTTCACATACTCTGTAAGGAAAGCTACTGCAGGAATAAAATTCCAAAGAGGTGCCAGAATATTGCAGGAACATATTTAAGTAATAAAAAATATATATATGAGGTGGTTGAAATCTTTAGGGGTTACTTCTTAGCGCTCATAACATTCCATTTGATATTTTAAAATGCTACTGAAAACCACCCCAATATGGTCTTTATTTAAACATTCACCTCTGAACTTAACAAGCTCTGAGCATATCTTTTGCAAAAAGTATTATAGACTTGATTCTTATGCTCTTACAACATTTCTTTCTCTTATTCTCTTCTGGTAAAAGTAATTCAAAGCTTTTGTTCAACTGATAGAAAACATAAGATATTTTTATGAATTGAGTCAAAATTAAAACTAGCATTGGTTAAAACTTGGGCTCTTTCCCTCAAATGATGACATTTTATCTTTAATCACCCATTAATTCTTATCTCCAACCATAAGCACACACAGATTCCCCTCTTGGAAAATAAAACATGCTCAAATAAAGGAATACATTAATGAGTGCTACAATCCAGTGGAGACTCCTTGTACCCAGAATATAGCATTCCTACTTCTGGGCCTTTGCACATACTTCTTCCCCTGATACATTCTCCTTCATTTTTTCCAATCTAAATCCTGCAAGGCTCTTCCATTATGCTTCAATGATCTCTCCATCCTTAAACCCACATGATCGTGTTATGCATCTGGTACTTTCTGCTCTCTGAAGTAGATGAGTTTTGTAAATTATTATGTATTGACACCAACTATGTTCCAAGCAATATACTACTAGGTACTTTCCAGGAATTATATCCTATAATCACAGTCACCCAGAAGGTATTATTAATATCCCTCCTTAAACAGATAAGGAAAGTAAGATTCCGAATGATTTTTTTAATTGCCAAGGTCACCCATCTAGTGAATGGCAGAGCCAGGATTTAAAATTAGGCCCCCAACACCATGATCTTTCTACTATGAAACGCTGCTTATTAATTTTGCTCATTCCTTGAACTAATGTGTATCATCTTCTTAATCAGACCTGGTGAGAGTTTACTCCTATCATATAGAGGAGTGTTAATGAAGAGATTCAGTGAAGCCATGGTATACAGGTTCATGAGTAGGGACAGGGTAAAGGAGGAAAGTGGGAAGACACTGGGGCTTCTGGCTTCAGGGATGATTACAATGCCTTTACCCAACATCATGACCAGAAGGAGGGGCTTGCCAAAGAGAATAGGACTTTCTATTGTAAGCATACTGAGTAGAGGAGCCCATTACATCAGTACAGAGCTGTCCAGAGGCAGGGTAACCATGGTTCAAAGTATGGTCTTAGGTGTCAGCTACCCTTGATCTTGAATCTGAGCCCCACCACTTAGTAGCTGCGTGCCTTTGGACAAGTTCACCTCTTAGAGTCTCAAGTTTTTATGTGTAAAATAGGAATTATACCACTTACCTCAAAGAATTGTTGAGGTAATAGAAATAACAATTTATATAAATGGCTAATATGATGCCTGGCATAGGGAGAGAACTCAGTAAATGTATTTTATTACTAATAACAGAAGTGAATACAACAAATGAGGCACTGGAGTAGAAGACATCTGGGCTGAAAAATGGTCTCAGGTATTGCTGATGTGGGGGCAGTGATTGAAGGCATAAGAATCGATGCGATTGGCAAGGGTTTAGAGCAGAGACTATGACTCAAATGCCTTAGGGCCTTCAGCAGTGAGTTGGTGTAAGTGCATTTGCACATCGTGTGGGTGATGGGAACTCTTGGGAAATAGAGAGCATGGAGTCTGCTTTAGAGGGAAGCTGCCACTCTCTTTGAGAAGGTTGCTGCCTTGGGCCCAGCATCACCAGATCTCCTATTTCTGCTTTTGGTTTTGTTTTCAAAAAAGGCCAGAAATTTCCTGATGTTTAAATGTCAGCTACTAAATTCAACTTAACAAACAGATGAAACACATACATAGGCTGGACTGTGGCTTATTGGCTACCAGATGGCAGTTTCTGTTGTAGAGAAAGAACAGGGCTGAGAACAGAGCCCTGAAGAACACCAGCATTAAAGGGGTAGGCAGAGAAAGAGGAGGGCTGATGAAGACCAAGAAAGGTGGAGAACAGAAAAAGAAAGAGAAGTCCAGAAGAGGGTGAGGTCAAAGAAGCCAGGGAATAGAAGTGTTTTAGGGAGGAGAGGGTCATCAGCACCATCAGAAATAGCACAGAGATCACTGTGGCCAGACCATGCCACACAAACCCATTAATAGTTGCGACCTTTTATTGAGACAGCAGATGTAATTACTACTAAGGAGAGAAGACATAAGAAATCAGCCAAGGTTAGAAATGAGGTTCTGAGAAACAGAAAAACAGTGCATGGTAGAACTCTATTTAAATCCATCTCTTGAACCATGAAGAGGGACTCTAAGAACTTCCAGTGAGCATCTTTCCAAAAGCAAAGATGGGCTTTGCCAGCTCAGCCATCCCTCAGATGTGTCTCCGATGGCTCAAACTGGAGGCCAGTAGGAAACCAGGAAGTTTGCCCCACCCTCCCCTCCTCAGGGGATGAGCTAATCAGAACATGGAGAAGAGAAGGATAAATGAACACTCCAACACTCGAACCATTAGTGAATGCTGAGATCTTTTATTTGTTTTCATGTAAACAGCAATATTACTATTAGCTATACTATTAATATCAATATTAATACTGACAGCCAAGAAAGCACAAAACACAAAAATATGGCTTAAAATAGGGGACCTGCCCAGTAAACTTAACAAAATATGATTTGGATTAGGATTGGAAACCCGTAAGCAATCTCTAAACAGAAAATCTCTAAGTAATAATAACTGCTCTTGAAGGACTCGCCCAGATGGCTGAGGGAAGATGTAAGCTTGCCCAGAAAAAAACTAATTCAACATAGAAAAGGAGAAGGCTACACTCCTTGACTCATAGCAACCAGAGCATAGAGATTTAATATGTGCATTCACAGCTACCACATAAGATTCTAAGCTGTTAGACATTTAACATTCCTCTCATTTAACAAGAAAGAAAAGACCAGAAATTGGAAATGATTTTCCCAAAGTTACTTGGTTAGTTAGTGGCTGAGTCAAATTTCAAATTCTGATTTCCTGACTTTTCACTCAATTCTCTTGCCACAAAACTCTGCCATGTATACAAAAGGGTTAATTCTCCCTGTGAAGGACATGACTTAAAAGGACTGAAACACACACACATATTTTTGATGGAAGGAAGGTGGAGTAAGTCTGGTGCATAGCAGAAATATCCGTGTATGGTTGAAGAGGCCAATGGGAAGAGCAGGCCAGGTGCACCCAAAGGGAGTGGGCACCTGTGAGAGGCGACCATGACATCAAAGACAGACGGTGCACACAACAATTGTATTTAGGCCTGGCATGTGCACTGCACATCCATGAGAAATATAGACAACAATTCCAAACTTAAAACAATGAAACATGCATTTTCTTAAATATATATATTTTTAATTTATTTATTTTACTTTAGGTGCATACTATATCTGGCATTTCTCCCCATGTTATCCCTCCCTCCCCTCCCCTCCCCTCCCTCCCCATCCCCCGCTGTCTCTCCCCTACCCCCACCAACTACCCCCAGTGTGTGATGCTCCTCTCCCTGAGTCCACATGTTCTTGTTGTTCACCACCACCTATGACTGAAAACATGTGTTTAGCTTTTTGTTCTTGTGTCAGTTTGCTGAGAATGATGGTTTCCAGATTCATCCATGTGCCTACAAAGGACACAAACTCATCGTTTTTTATCTGCATAGTATTCCATGGTGTATATGTGCCACATTTTCTTTGTCCAGTCTATAACTGATGGGCATTTGGGTTGGTTCCAGGTCTTTGCTATTGTACACAGGGCTGCAATGAACATACATGTGCATGTGTATTTATAGTAGAACGATTTATAGTTCTTTGGGTATATACCCAGTAATGGGATTGCTGGGTCAAATGGAATCTCTATTTCTAGATCCTTGAGGAATTGCCACACTGTCTTCCACAATGGTTGAATTAATTTACAATCCCACCAACAGTGTAAAAGTGTTCCTATTTCTCCATATCCTCTCCAGCATCTGTCTCCAGATTTTTTAATGATCACCATTCTAACTGGCGTGAGATGATATCTCAGTGTGGTTGTCATTTGCATTTCTCTAATGACCAGTGATGATAAGCATTTTTTTCATGTTTGTTGGCCTCATATATGTCTTCTTTTGAAAAGTATCTGTTTATATCCTTCACCCACTTTTGAATGGGGTTTTTTTCTTTTATATCTGTTTTAGTTCTTTGTAGATTCTGGATATTAGCCCTTTGTGAAATGGGTAGATCACAAAAATTTTTCCCCATTCTGCTGGTTGCCTATTCGCTCTAAAGATTGTCTCTCTTGCTGTACAGAAGCTCTGGAGTTTAATTAGATCCCATTTGTCTATCTTGGCTTTTATTACCATTGCTTTTGGTGTTTCAGTCATGAAGTCCTTGCCTATGCCTATGTCCTGGATGGTTTTGCCTACATTTTCTTCTAGTGTTTTTATGATGCTAGCTTTTATGTTTAAATCTTTAATCCATCTGGAGTTAATTTTAGTGTAAGGTGCAGGTAGGGGTCTAGTTTCTGCTTTCTGCACGTTGCTAGCCAGTTTTCCCAACACCATTTATTAAACATGGAGTCCTTTCCCCATTGCTTGTTTTTTCTGGGTTTGTCAAAGATCAGATGGTTGTAGATGTGTGGTATTTCTTCTGGGATCTCTGTTCTGTTCCATTGGTCTATGTCTCTATTTTCTACCAATACCATGCTGCTTTGATTACTGTAGACTTGTAGTATACTTTGAAGTCCGGCAGTGTGATGCCTCTGGCTTTGTTCTTTTTGCTTAGGATTGTCTTGGCTATGCAGGGTCTTTTGTGATTCCATATGAAATTTAAAGTGGTTTTTTTCCAGTTCTGTGAAGAAGGTCCTTGGTAGCTTGATGGGGATAGTGTTGAATCTATAGATTACTTTGGGTATTATGGCCATTTTCACGATATTGATTCTTCCTAACCATGAGCAGCATGCAATGTTTCTCCATCTGTTTGTGTCCTCTTTATTTCCTTGAGCAGTGGGTTGTAGTTCTCTGTGAAGAGGTCCTTTACATCCTTTGTTAATTGTATTCCTAGGTGTTTTATTCTCTTTGTAGCAATCTGAATGGGAGTTTGCTCTTGATTTGGCTGTTTGTCTGTTATTGGTATATAGGAGTGCTTGTGATTTCTGCACATTGATTTTGTATCCTGAGACTTTGCTAAAGTTGCTTATCAATTTGAGAAGATTTGGGGCTGAGACGATGGGGTCTTCTAGACACAATTATGTCATCTACAGATACAGTTTGACTTCCTCTTTCCTAATTGAATACCCTTTATTTCTTTTTCTTGCCTGACTACTCTGGCTAGAACTTCCAATACTAAGTGGAATAGGAGTAGTGAGGGAGTGCATCCTTGTCTAGTGCCTGATTTCAAAGGTAATGCTTCCAGCTTTTGCCCATTCAGTATGATATTGGCTGTAGGTTTCTCATATATAGCTTTTATCATTTTATGATATGTTCCATCAATACCTACTTTATTGAGAGTTTTTAGCATGAAGTGCTGTTGAATTTTATCAAAGGCCTTCTCTGCATCTATGGAGATAATCATGTGGTTTTTGTCTTTGGTTCCGTTTCTATGATGGATTACATTTATGGATCGTATTTGTTGGACCAGCCTTGCATCCCTGGGATGAAGCCTACTTGGTCATGATGAATAAGCTTCTTGAGGTACTGTTGCAATCTGTTTGCCAGTATTTTACTGAAGCTTTTTGCATCGATGTTCATCATGGATATTGGCCTGAAGTTTTCTTTTTTAGTTGAGTCTCTGCCTGGTTTTGGTATCAGGATGATGTTCGTTTCATAAAATGGGTTAGGGAGGATTCCCTCCTTTCGTATTGTTTGTTACAGTTTCAGAAGGAATGAAACCAGCTCCTCTTTGTACGTCTGTTAGAATTTGGCTGTGAACCCGTGTGGACCTGGGCTTTTCTTGGTTGGTAGGCTATTGATTGCTGCCTCTACTTCAGCCATTGTTACTAGGCTATTCAGGGTTTCAACTTCCTCCTGGTTTAGTCTCAGTAGAGTACAAGTGTCTAGGAATTTATCCATTTCTTCCTGGTTTACTGGTTTATGTGCATAGAGCTGTTTGTAGTAATCTCTGACGTTTTCCTAAATATGACCTATAGTCATAAACATTTACTTTTCCAGATATCACTCACTGAGTAACTGCAATTAGCAGAACATTGTCAATAACAAAAAGTGAACTACACACACTTACACCACAAATCTGAATAGTGAAGAGAGATATCACTGAGTATCTGTCTCAGAACGATTCTTGTAAATATAAGTAATTAGCCCAGTGCCTGGTCCACAATAGGCCCTCCATAAATGTTTAGCTATGATTATGATTCTGTGAGTGTCTTGGCAGCCACTCAGAAATTGATTACTCTTAGTTTACATACAATTTCTTCTATTTAGCATTTTTATTTACCTAACAGATTAAAATGGAGGAATGGGAATATAGTTGAAGATAGATACATAAGAGGAAATAAAAAACTGGTATCAAACACACAGGAAGAAAATCCACTGAGACTATTTAGTGTAAGGGCAAACAGCCCTCCATCTTTCCGGAGATTCTGGAGATAATTGTAGCACAGTACAATTCCTTGATAACACAGAATCATCCAGAAAGATTCTGTGCTATGTTGTATCCTCTATTTAAAGTGTCAAGGAAACATTTGCTACAATTTTAAAATATATATCTAAAAAATTTAAGTTTTTAAAAGTTTTGGCACAGAGAAGTTACAAATCATCTGGAAACTTGACATGAAAAATCATATTATCCACAGCGCCATAAGCATGACACATTATATCAAGGGGACATTTCAACTAGACATAAGGGGATCCTATTCCATTGAAGATCCTATTCCATTGGCATTGGCTGATTATAGATCCTTTTAGTTTCAGTTATCAGTGTGAGACTATATATGATCTATGGTATTTCTAGACAGATTATTTTTCATAAGGCAGAATAACTTCTTCATGCTATTTGACATCAAATTGAATTTGATAATAGGATTGCCTCATTTCTTGAAACCAGCAATGTGCATGTGTGTACAATACATGGCGCTGAATGTGTATCTCAGCATAGGGAGGAGGATGAGCATGTGTTGCTTTGCCTGTCTGTGGCAAAGAATGTGTTTTCCTCCCCAGACTATTAAAATCCTTACTAACTTTTACCCTGAGAGGTCCAGTTCCCTACTCTCCTGTATAGTAAAGCTAACCCTTCACAATAAATTATCTTACTCTCCCTGCATAGAAGAAAATCTTAAGTCACTGATTAAGTGACTTTTCATAGCATCACATATCCAGAGAATTCTTCAAAGGGAAATTTCTATTAACTATGTTTGGAAGCTGGGAAAGCAAAATGGTAAAGAAAAAAAAGCACATGATATCTCTTAGACGGCTCTCTTTAAGTCCTGATTTTTCACAAGCTGATTCTTCTTTGGAACCCCCACCAAATGAGAAAGTTTATATTTAGGCAGCACACAAACTGCAACCAATTTAACCTTGGAGAGGCCGCTTTGGCTTCCAGGGGTTGGTTCACACCACCTTTGGCAGTTTCATAACCCTGCTCCTTCACTCCTTGCTCCTCTTCATTTTGGTAATCCCCACACATGTCAAATTTCCAGCAAATGGTAATCAGGTGCCGTTTTCAACAAGTTTATTATGACAATTGCCTGACCAATAGAAACAATGCATCTTGAAGAAGAGGCATCTATTGTTCCTTTCTCACAAAGGTGCCTAGTAGGCTCAAGGCAATCTTGGGGTGTGAGGGCTAGGCAATTTAGGAAATATAAGGATAAATAAGATGAAGTGATATATAAAATAAATTTTAAATATCCCTGAGGGGTGGGGGCAGTAGGGCCAGGATCTGCTGCTTGTCACATCCCACATGGCTGAGCTGGGAGGCTCCGTCACTTGCAATGAAGAATCTGTGTCCTGTCCACCCCCAACTTGGTGTTCGTGCTGGTGCCTGGTTTTAGAAGTCGTCGTCAGCCCCTCAGGGGACGCAGTATTCACCAGGATTTTGATGGATAAGAATCAGTTCTCCACCATTCACATAGAAGTCATCCAGGGAGGTACTGTCAGTGGTCACATTCAAGTAGACTTTGTCTTTGTAAGTCAGAGAGGCCACCATCAAGGAGTTGACAGACCTGACCTTTTCCAGTTGGAAGAGGGGCTCCTCATGCTCCTGGTAATGCAGACTGATGCTGATGTTCTGCGAGAAGTAGCCCTTCAGGGAGATGAGATAAAATCCATCGCAGTTGATGACGATTGAGTTGTTTTGCAACTTCATCATTTCATCCTCCTTTTGGGATGTGAGGATGAAACCTTTCTCCTTCTTATATTCTAGGGAGGATGGAGAAAATTATTTTTATTAATTCCTAAGCATAGTACTGGGTAACAACTTTCCAATAGATGTGGAATCAGATGAAGAGAAAGTGATAGAGAGAGATTTTGAAAAGAGTAAAAGCAGTGAGCTGAGATCACGCCACTGCACTCCAGCCTGGGTGACAGAGTGAGACAGACTGTCTCAAAAAAAAAAAAAAAAGAGTAAAGGCAAGAGAGCACTGTATTTCTACCTGTGGGGTGGAATCTGCTTTACCTGTGGAATGGAAGAAGAAGCTATGCTAACACTAGTAACTAAGAGAGTCTCAGATAGGGCTGAGATCTTACAGAAATAATCACAAAACACCTATGGCAGGAAAGGTGGCTTCGGGATTTTCCTAATTTTTCAGAACAGGGATGGATTGGCAACTTCAGTGCCTCCTTTCTTGCTCAGTGCACAAACTATGAGCAAAGGGTGGCCGTGGCACCCTATGCCTTGGCCCTGCACACTACCCATACTTGAAGCTTGACTCAAAGCAATTGTTTTCAACTCTTTCCTGTTCTGTCTCCATCTGACCATGAAATGCAAATTTTCCACATGCCCCAGGCATTGGACCTATCCACAGCAGTTACTAATGGCCTTTGCCAGCAGTCGCTTAAGCTTAATAACGCAGCTGTGCACAGCCTCTCTGTGGATTCAGGATGGGCTCCCAAAGCTGCAGGTGGAGGAGTTCAAGGGCACAGACTTGCTTCTCTTCTCTACCTCCCGTTGCTAGTTTTTCCTGAAAGGGACTTTGAGAAAAGTCACTGCCACAGGAGAAAGAAAAGGAGGAAGAGGAGAAGGAGGCAGTGATAGGTTTGTTTGTTTTGTGCAGGGCCATTCCAAGTGCAAGCCAAAAATCCTGATTATTTCCATGTTAGCACTAATATCATCCTCAATAGCCAAGTAATTGATATGAATCAATTAACTTTTGACAATACTTACCAGTAAATTGTACTTTGATACTTTGAATTCGAGGATACTGATGTGGTACCTGAGGGAGGAAGAAACATAGAGGGAAAAAATCATGAACAAATGAAAATCCTAAGTCATAGTGAATGGAACAGCGAAGCAGAAAAGCAGTAGCCTGTAGAGAAAAAAAAAAACAACAAAAGATTTGACACTTTTTTCGTGAGTCAGGATCTCACTCTTACACCCAGGATGGAGTGCAGTGACACAATCACAACTCACTGCAGCCTCGACCTCCCTGGGCTCAGTGATCCTCCCACCTCAGCCTCCTGTGTGGCTGGGACTATAGGCATGCACCACCACACCTGGTTAATTTTTGTATTTTGGGGGTTTCGGGGGTAGAGATGGGGTTTTGCCATATTGCCCAGGCTGGTCTCAAACTCCTGACAGCAAGCAATCCTGTCACCCAGCCTCCTGAAGTGCTGGGATTACAGGCATGAGCCACCATGCCTAGCCCTGACTTTTTCTCTGAAAATTGGATCTAGACTTTAACCTACCTCTTGCTTTCCCATAACACCTTAAGATAAATTAGGAGTGTTGCGCTCTTTATGCAAGTGTCTGAGATCTGTCCTTATTTCTGCCAGACTCTTCTTTGGTATACTGTTTTGTCTCACTGTGTCCCAATTTCCCATTTTGTATAACATAGCATTATACTCACAATTTGAACTATGTCAGTACTCAATTGCGAAAAAGAAGTAAAACAGTGAAGAAAGGAAATCTGATAGATAAAATGTTTATAGTACTTTTGTGGTTAAAAGAACAAAGAAGCTCAATATGAAGACAACTCCAAGATCTATTAAGTAAAAAAGGGTGGGGGCAAAATAATAATAACACCTGTATGGGCACTATATTAATGTATCTGAAAGAATACACAAGACATTAGTTGCCAATGTTGTCCCTGGGGGAAAAAATTGGAAGCCTGAAGTCAGGAGTAAGATTGACCTTTACTTTTCATGGTCTGCTTTTTTTTTTTTTGAGGTGGAGTTTCGCTCGTTACCCAGGCTGGAGTGCAATGGCGCGATCTCAGCTCACTGCAACCTCTGCCTCCTGGGTTCAGGCAATTCTCCTGCCTCAGCATCCTGAGTAGCTGGGATTGCAGGCGTGCACCACCATGCCCAGCTAATTTTTTTTGTATTTTTAGTAGAGACGGGGTTTCACCATGTTGTCCAGGATGGTCTCGATCTCTTGACCTCGTGATCCACCTGCCTCGGCCTCCCAAAGTGCTGGGATTACAGGCGTGAGCCACTGCGCCCGGCCAGTCTGCTTTTTTTTTAAAAAAAAATTGTGCCATATGTTTGTATTACTTACTAAAAAAGAAAATAGAAAAAAGTGTCTGCTGGGCGCCATGGCTCACGCCTGTAATCCCAGCACTTTGGGAGCCCAAGGCCAGTAGATCAGCTGAGGTCAGGAGTTCGAGACCAGCCTGGCCAACATGGTGAAACCCTGTCTCTACTAATAATAAAAAATTATCTGGGCATGATGGTACATGCCTGTAATCCCAGCTACTTGAGAAGCTGAGGCAAGAGAATCACTGAAACCTAGGAGGCAGAGGTTGTCATAAGTCAAGATTGCACCACTGCACTTCAGCCTGGGTGACAGAGCAAGCGAGATTCCACCTTAAAAAAAGTGTCAATTATGCCTGCCAAGAACAACAATTCTTCCCACAAGGTTATTTTGGCATGATGTTCTAATCAAAGATGTGGAGAGGGATTTGTTTTCATGACCTGGGTAGTGAAATTCCTGCTTCCCACTCTCCTGGCACACTGGTAGCCGCAGTCAAAAATATTCCACTGGTACCTGCTCACACAGACAAGGAATTCCCTATTTCTATTATAAAAGTAGCATCACAAGCCTCACCAAGCTAAAACCAACAGGCAGCATAGGAAGAAGGGAGAGCCGTTCTGAGTCCTGCCAGGAACTGGGCTGCAGGAGCAATGTGAGTTCAATGTGCTGAGCACATGGAGAGAGGTGCTGACTTGGGTAGAAGCAGGAGTCTTTAGCTCTCTCCCCTCTGTGTACTGTTCATGGCATGGTGGCTAATTAGTGTTCTTTGTGCTCAAGAGCAAGGCTCTGGAGGAAGACCTGTCAAAAGGCAAATTACCCTACCACCCCCTGGGTAAATAAATGTCTCCACTGCTCTCTGGGCTAGTTGGTGTCTGCATGAATTGCTACTTGCTAAAGTCAGAAAGAAGCCATCTGTGGAGCAGCGCAAACACCACAGGGCTCAGCGTGCAGCGACAGAGTGCTACTGCCCGGCAGGCACTGTGCCAACGTATACAAGTTTCATAATCTCTTTAGCAGCTTCTCATCTTTAAAGGTCACTAGACTATCAGAGGCATTCCTTTCAGCACTAGCTTTTCATGATTTAGATTTTAAAAGTTGTGGCTTTAAGTCTCATTTAATAAAAGAGAAAAAACATAAAGCTTCCTCATTCCCAAATTTACTTTCACTTCCTGATCTAAAAGTCCTTGTGATGTGATTATTTTGATGGACTTTGCAAAGCTCCAAAAATATCCTGCAGATTAAATTTTGAAGGGCTCTGATGAACTAAGGGTGATAGTGACCAGACATGCTCTGGGACCATGATGCTTACAGGCAGTGAGTGAGCAAAGTGCATGTGACTTCCTCCGGGCTGGAGTCTGGACTTCCAGTAGATCAACCTGGAGGAAGCTGATTACTGGAACTCCAGACTCAGGCATCCTGTTCCTTCTCCTGAAGGTCACGTAGGGGTAGAAGTTTGCATACCCTCAGAAGTCTCTTACTAACAAACATCAATACCATCAAGTTTAAGCAATGTTGTGAAGTAGAAAAAGATGGTTCTTCCTCTTGTTCATTGGCCTTCCAACCTCATCCTCTTCCCCCTCAACCTCCATACCCAGTGACCTCATGCAGACTCCCACAGTGCCCAAATGAAAGCGCTGAAAAGCCTGGCTCCAACCTCATCGTCCAGCTTTATTGCCACATATATCCTTTCTATGTCTGATGATCTAGACAACTATTTGTTCTGATCTCCTTGCTCTTGGATAGAGAGCCTGGTAGGATGGCACAACGAGCATAGACGTTGGAGTCAGATTTAGTTCAAACTGTGACTTCTTTGGAAAAGTTATACAATTTCTTAGCTTTAGCCTTTATACATGTGAAAATAAGACATAATTGTGTTACTGGAACGTTCCAGAAGAGGAACATCAAGTTTAGATAGGATAACTTGAAGCATCCAACAGTTTGCCAGCACATGGTACATGGTAAGCATTTGAAAAATGTAGGTTGGATGCAGTGGCTCACATCTGTAATCCCAGCATTTTGGGAGGCCAAGGCTGGCGAGTCACATGAGGTCAGGAGTTCAAGACCATCCTGGCCAACATGGCAAAATCCTGTCTCTACAAAAAATGCAAGAATTGGCGAGATGTGGTGGCATACACCTGTAGTCTTAGCCACTCAGGAGGTTGAGGCACAAGAATCACTTGAACCCAGGAAACAGAGGTTGCAGTGAGCCCAGATCACACCACTGCCTCTAGCATGTCACCCCATCTGTCTCTGCTCATCAAAATGTCACCACCTTTTAGGCCTAAATCAAATCCTTGAGTTTCAGTTTCTGTATTCCTATGCAAGTATTTAAAGTCATTCATTCATGCAAATGTTTAGAGTAGCTTTGTTCATAATTGTCAAAACTTGGAAGCAGCCAAAATGTCCTTCAGTAGGAGAATGGATAAATAAACTGATAGAACCATACAATGGAACATTATTCAGCACCAAAATGAAATGAACTATCAAGCTATGAAAAGACATGGAGGAATCTTAAATGCATAATTATATAAGAGAAGCCAATCTGAAAATGGTGTATACTAAATGACCTAACTATATGACATTCTGGAAAAAGCAAAACTATGGAGACTAAAAAGATCAGTGGATACCAGGGGTTAGAAAAAGAGGGGAGAGGAATAAGTAGGTAGAGAACAGGGTATTGTTAGAGTAGTGAAAGTATCCCATATAATTCTATAACCATGAATACATGCCATTCTACACTTGTCAAAACACTGTATATACAGAATGTACAACATTGACAGTTAACCCCAATATTTAAAAAAATCACTCTATTGACTTATGAAATGCCAGTGAATAAAAGTCTTATCTCCTCTACTCAAGAGTACTTAGCTGTGTAACCTTGGGTAAATTGCATTTAATTGCTGATTTTTGGAGATAATAAAAATCTATATATGGTAAAGTTTGAATAAAATCATGTATACCAGTGATCAGGACCTGGCATGGAATATTGCAGGAAGTTAATAAACATTAGCAATTACTCATGGTTGCACATGGAAAACAAAAACCATATCATGTTCATAATTTATTCTACAGAGTGCTATATACATTTTATATATCATAACAGAATGAAGAAATGAATTAAAGAAAAAAACAAAGACTAACGAAGTCATCATGTCAGTGCCCTCTCTGTAGCTCAGGGAAACAATAAAAAGGAATTTGGGTTTCATGAGAAAGATTGACAGAAAACAATCAGAAGACATTTGGTCAAACCCCACACACAGACTTAGTGTTCTGTATATCAAGAAAATACCCAGATCTCCACATACTCAAAGAAAACAGAAAATATCCAAGGGCCTGGTCTGAAGAGTCCACACCATATTCAAGGATGAAATGCAAATGCTCATAAGTATCCTTGCCAGAATTGAAGTATAGCCCTGAATTTTGAATGAAATGGTCTTAGAAGCATGAAAAAATGCAAAAGAAGTCATATTCTAGTTGGACATTATATTTTGTGGATGAAGAAGTTAAGGCCCACAGAAATGAAGAGATTTGATCCATGCCCTTCAGTTTCAGTATACTTGTTATTATACCACACAAGTATCATTTTTTCCCATGCAAATATGAAGGAAACACTTCTATGAAGATTTTATTAATATTCCATTCCTTGTGTCCACTTTAATAACAATCTTAGAGAAATGAAGAAGTTGCCATGCAGATGACTGGCAATGGCCTCACCATGAGAAAGAATAGGAAGAGCCCACA